TGTAATGATATCTAATACCGTAAAAAAAAAAAAAATTTACCTGTTGCTCTAATAAATGTAGATTATTTTCTAGCTCACGATTTCTTATTTTTGTTGCTTCGGCCTCCTCAAAAATTTCCAAATTCTATAATAAAATATTAAAATTCAGTAAATGTATTCAATACGTATCTTATCAAGCAAAAAAACTTACGCGGCGCATTAATACATCAATTTCTCTTTCAAGCAAGCGTCGGCTTTCTGTGTAATGATCATCGCCAGAATCGTGATCCTTTTTAAGCGCGAGATATTTCACATTTAAATTTTTATATTTTTCCTTTAACTCCGTTATAATTTTATTTTTTTTATTAAGGTCATTCACAAGTATTTTAATTTCCTCACGAAGCCTAAGATTTAAATAGAAACTAAATTATTCAGTAGTTATTTATAACAAATTATTTTATTTAAAATAAACTTACTTTTTAACAAGTGTTGCTACTTTTTCTTTTTCTTCTACAAGAAACAAACAATTGATAAAAAAATAGTAATTGAATGATACAATAGTGTTGCTATTAAGGGCACTCACCAAAAAGCGTGTATTATGCATGGTCAGGTGTGAAAAGCGATGTTAGTACACTAAAGTAATTTTGATCGAAATACAGTTAATAATACGTACCAGCAGCAACTTTATTAACCAAAATATTATTAAGTTGACGAATTTGCTTATCGTTGAATCCATTGATCTCCACTTTTAATAAGCTAATACTATTTCGACATTGGCCGAACTCACCAATATGAGGATGCCCGTTTTTTAATGGTAGGTATTTTTCTTCGGCAATCTTTAGCTTATCATTAATTTCATCAAGTTGTTTGAATATATTACTTTTGAAAGTGAAGGTATTGTTATCATAATCGTGTTGAATTTGTATCGCGTTTTGACTATGCCTTATTCCTTGTACTGTTGTAAGGTGGATGTCTTGTAGGTGCTTTTCTAGCTTTTCATACTTTACGAATGAATAGTGACATCTGGAACTAGGACATTTGAATCGATGACCTAGAGTTTTTTCAACACCATAAACTTTTCTAGTTCTTCTTAGAGGAGACATTTTTCAGGACGAAAATTCTCGAATTCTCAAGAACAAACAATCGTAACTATTTATAGAAGAGTTAAAACTATGAAGTGTATAAATTTATTATATATAATTAGACTAGTCGTTAACGTTAAGTCAACTTAAGTATAATATTAATCATTATTGTAATTTATTTATTTAAGCAAAATTTGACACCAATATAAAATATTAATTTTAAAATTTACTTTATTGATATTACTATTTAGGTTTTAAAAAATTTAAAAAATTTTATTTTTTGGTGCGTAGGTTCAATTATATTCAATAATTTGTACTATAATTTTTTATATTGCCTGCCAGAATTACAACAAGAACAGGCGAAATCGTTAAATATACAGTATTGATAAAGTAAACTGTATGAAAATCATGTAATTTCTATAATAAAATTGAAGAGTGGCTTTTATGTGCACATATTTCAAAATAGGCAGATATTACCGGATTCATCAAATATATTTTATATCAATATTTATTCTAAATTAATAAATTTTAAATTGAAGGACTAGCACTAAATAAATATTGTATTAGCGTTAGACATATATATAATTCATTTCTCATTCATCTTCAATTCTTGACTTGAGTATAGTATTAACTATTTTTCATTTTGTAGTCTTACTTATAAGTGAACTTAATGCTCATCGTTTTGCGAAATCGGGATTTATAGGACATACATTTTATTTGTTCATTTTTTTTGCATGTTGTCATATATTATTAGTGTCAGAATTATTTTTCTTTGATTTATTTTAATTCTGTCTTTTAAC